TTTGCGGAGCTTGATCCCTCGGGTGTGATCTCCGCCAAGGAAAAACAAATTCGTGACACTTTACTCAAATTGGAGTCTATTGACAGTGAAGGTAGTACTTCGCTTACAATGGAAGAGCTTGCGACCGTACGCCGTGAGTTGGCGGAATCGAAGTCATTGGTCTCTACACACGAACAAACCATCAACGAGTTACATCACGAGAATGAACATTTGACAAAGAAGAGAGATGAACTTGAGATCAGATTGAACGCCCTAGAGCTTGAATATGAAGAACTACTGGGTAAGGGTTATCTGGTGTTTCTTTTGGTTTTTTCTTTTTAGCATCTACTAATTATTATTATTTTTTTTTTTTTTCGCTTTTACGTAGACAAGACGATTGCCGAAGAGGAGGCTAACAACAACATTGATATCACAGAAACGATAGCGGAGCTGAGAGTGAGTCATTGTTATTAAAAATAAAGGAATGTGAATTAAACATAGTCCTCACCGGTTGCTGATCATCTTTTTCATATCAATTTAGAGCAAATTAGAAGCTCAATTTGTCGCAAAGAAGGAGGTACAACAAAAAGAGATCGATGAGTTAAAACAAGAACTAGAAAAGAAGAACGAAGAGCTATACAAACTTAATAAGTATGCCTTTTTTTAATATTAAATGTCAATTTTTTCAAGTCCCCTTGACTCACACCATCTGATCATGAATAGTGCTCTCGCTGAACTAAAGAGAGCGAATGAGGAATTGCAGGTAAAGGTCGTACACAAGGTTTAAAACTCAAAGATTTTTCAATGAAATTATGCATGTTTTATTTATTTATCTACTAACGCTTGAACTCACCTCTCGCAAATGCAGAACGTTCTTACTGAAAGGGATTCTAGATCCGAATCTCAGAAAAATGTTGTGGAGAAAGAAAAGGACATGGAACGAATTCGTAAGACCATGGCACAACAATTGGCCGATTTTGATGTTATGAAGAAAGCACTCATGCGCGATCTGCAGAACCGATGTGAAAAAGTGGTCGAGCTTGAGATCTCATTAGACGAAACGAGAGAGCAATACAACAATGTACTACGAAATAATAATAACAAAGCACAACAGAAGAAGATGGCATTCCTAGAGAGAAATCTGGAGCAACTGACGAACGTGCAGAAACAAGTAATTATCAATAATATACGCGTACCTATTGAAGGTGACTTGCTGTGATGATTTTATCTAACCAACGGTTTTTTCCCACCTCACCAAAGCTCGTCGATCAGAACGCGTCATTAAAGAAGGAAGTAGCAATTGCCGAGCGAAAACTTCTCGCCCGAAACGAACGTATCCAGGCTCTGGAAGCCTTACTACAAGATGCACAAGAGAAGCTTACCTCACAGAATCAAAAGTAAGCATAACAAGGATTTATTTAAAAAAAAATAATTTACTTCAATTCTCTCAACAAATTATTTATTACACCTAGATTCGAGGCACAACTACAAGCCGTTCGAGAACGATTAGAACAGGCTAGATGTAAGTTTTTTTTCCGGTGTGATCCCATTTTTGAAGACGCAATGTTTTTCATCCATTTTTAACGAATTTGTCATATCCTTCCCCTCAGCTCAAAAATCAGCAGCAAATCCATTTGCCGTGAATTCCTTATCCCGTATTGTAAAACCCCTCCGTGGTGGCGTTGATGTCAGCGGGTAACGATTAATATACATCATTTGTAATAGTTGTCGTGCTTTAAAAAACCAAAGTTCTTGCATTTAACCCTTGAACCCATCATTCCCACTAGATCCGACTCCCCGTTCGGTAAGAATAATATGCGTAAATAAACGCCAGGGTAGAAACAAAATAATAGTCCCATTGGTTCATTAAATCTCAAAAGCATTATTTTTTTTTAAAAAAAAAAAACAAAAAAAAAAAAAAGCCCAAACATGCGGGTAAAGAACGATCGGCGAGGGTTGTGATTATCAGGCTTCCGTCAATAGTAGTTTGGCCTTGTTGTCATTATTATTACATAGTCCCACTTCATAATTTCTTTCAAATTTGTACGTGTATTTTTTTTTTTTTTTACTTGTATTTTTTTTCTAGATTTCTTTTATTAGGGTTTTAAGTAGTTACGGCATATGAAGTTTCGATTTTTTTCAAAATTGGAATGAAAATAAATTAAGAAACAAACATTTTCGTCTGCAACTTTATACAAAGTGTTACTTCTTCTGGTTCGATGAGCGTTCCTCACATGAAGCCATGACATGCAGCCTGATCAGCCTGAACAAATAGCAGACACTGCATTTGAATTCGAAGTTTATTGATCCGGGCTGATCCGGCTGCATGTCAGGCTTCAAAGTGAGGGAATACTAAAGTTCAATAAATACAACGTGAAAAGTCAGCCGACACTAACCCAACTTTCTCTTTTTGACACCTTTCCCTTAACGATTAGGAATCATGGTGTTTCTGTGTTGTCAGATGTTGAATCATCCTTGTATAACACTACTTCTAGGGAATGCGTTAGTCAACATATTCCGAATCAGTGTACGATCGGAAATTTTCCGCCTGTCGTCTTCTGTCACCTATCGAAGAAAAAAAAAAATAATCGAGGTGATTCTTCGACTGAGCGCGCCGAGCTCCCAGCGGAAAATTTCCGGTAACACGATAATATTTCATACACTGTTTCGAAAGTGGAGAACGACAGGTTTCTTTAGAATGTTTGCTCGAAGCTTAAAATCATCAAAAGTTAACATGAGATGGCTTTACGCATATTCCCTGATAATAGAAATATTCCAGATGTTCCATAATAGACATAATAGAAATCATGTAAAAAAATAGACTTAATTTAATAATAATAAAAAATTGAGGCGGGACCTCTCCCACTTGCACATTACTGTATGTACAATCGCGTAAACGCATATCGGCGAATTCGACAATCGGGATATTAAAATTAACTCTTGCACGTTAATGCAGGGGCCATACCTTCTTTGGCTTGACATCTGCTTTGAACCTGCGATTTAGGCTGAATCACAAACAAAGAAAATAACAATGAACATTTTAAAATTTTCAAATTCGTATTAGACGATCTACCATAAAAAAAAAAAAATTGCGATCGTAGAACAATCAAATATCTCAATTTATTATTGTGGGTTACATGAAATTTGATTCGCCGATTACGTTGCGTAGATCTGGTGATGCGGGTTTTGTTCTTCAACTTCTCGACGAGACGGCTTCTCTCACAGAGGACGCTACTTTATAATGGTGATAATCTTGTTTCTTCAGAAATAGCGAAAACGCGTTTTCATTCCAAGACAAATTTACGACGCGCGGTACCCGTCTCAGCGATCAAAAAAGAGGATAAACATTTGGAATTCTGCAAAAAATACGGAATAAAATTTTCTAATGAAGATTTGATACATCAAGTTTGTACCCACAAATCTGTTATCTCTAACACGGCGCCGACAAATGAAAGATTAGACTATTTAGGTACAGATTATTTTATTGGCGTCGTAATAAGTACATCGGTTAGACCTAATCGCCAAAGTATTATTATTAACTTATTTATAGGGCAAAAAGCAATCCAACTTTTTGCCGCAGAATTTTTCCTAGGCAGAGTGCCACCGGAGGAATTGCATGAAAAAGTTGATCTATACACGAAGCACTCGGACAACCTGGGTATAATAGGCAGGAAGATGGGGTTAGACGAATTGTTGTATTGGACGCCGGTACGTGTGATGAGTAATCAATCAACCATCTGTTGTAATTCAATAATTCAATTATGACCGCGATTCATATGAATGATGAATTTTTCTCTTGACGATGATAGACCAATGCAAAAGAAGTAGAAATGGCAAATCAGGAAGGACACAAATTGAAGCCCAAGGGCATTGAAACTGTTACCGGAAGAGCTCTTCAAGCTTTAGTCGGAGCGATATATCATGATCAGGTAAAAAAAATAAAAAATTCAGGATAATCAGACAACCGACTAATCTTTTTTTACTATTAAAATAAGGGTGATTTTGCCGCAAGAGAATTCGTTGACAAGCATATATTGACAGCGCCTATTAAATGACTCGGCTAGTTTTGCTGAAGATCGTGTGTACTTTAATTTTTAGACAAGATTCAAAAATATACTTGTGCTTAAACCTAAATTTTTTGGTGTATGTGTGTCATGCAGAATACATGAAATAAATAAAATGCGCGTGCAGATCTGACAATTTCATCCGCATATAAGACACTGTCATACGTTATTAAATAATAAATCCATTCTTTTGCACACTTCTTATCATCAAAGTTCCATTCAATATCTCTTTCCCTTTTTCACTCATTCTTTGATTCACCAACCTTTACATAATGTCATCTACCGATGTCACCGTTCTCATACCTGGAAACGGTCAACAAGCCGAACTCCCGTAAGTTGAAAACTAGAGTCCACGCAACGTACCAACGGACTTGTCACCACTTTTCAAAACATTCTCTAATATCCTTATTTTACCTACAAATGGAAATAAAAAAGTAATCCTCACACGCAACATTCGTTATCACGAGCGGAAATTGTTCATGGAGTAGCGAACCGCATTATTTACTCAAGATTTTATTCATGGTTGTATTTAGGAATGGCTTTACTGAGCATTATTCCTATTGTCCTGGTATGCTTCATCTCCCGTAATTTTGAATATTTGTTTGTTTGTCAACTAACCAGCCTTTTCGTGCGTCCATGCCTTAACCAGTCTTTTATAGAAGAATGGTAAAATCCTATTTTACTTTTATTCATTTTTTTTTTCTTTCTTTTCTTGCGCCTCAAATAAATATCATTCTTTTTCGTAATATATAGTCAAACTGTAGGTTTCATTATACTGGAAGTTATAATCAACACAGTCATGATAGCGGAAGTAATAACCAGATTTCTAGCTTTAGGAAAGGTCCGTAGGATTTTCCGATCTACCTTCAATTCATTTATATATTCAGATTTATTAAATATATACTCTCGCCTTGTTTTATTGGTCCCAAATAGCAATTCTGGAAATCGATATTCAACATAGCTGACATAATTCTTGTTTTTCTATGCGTAACCACCTTAATCTTTTTGTTGAGAGGAGGCTGTTCACACAAAGGAGAGGAGGTATTCGATCTGATCCTACTAATTGCGAGAAACCTGATACAGTTTGGAAGAATAATTTTGATGTTGAGAAAGTATGAAAATTTTCCTTCATTCCTATCATTTGGTTCAATCTATTTTATTAATTGAATCTTGTTGAAAAAAACCCACCGTAGAAATAAGAAAACTAGGAAAACACGAAATGCAACGGTCAATTTCGATAATATCAGGGAGTCAAGCGTTTCAATGGATATTGATTCGTTATCCAATAGGGCATTTCTAATAGCTGATGAGGAAGATGACTTTTTATAATTTTTATTTAACTTGGTTTCATCTGTTATCCGTTCGGTCGTGTTAAGTATATGCGACCAGGCTTTTATCTAACACGTGTATAAAAAACTTTTTTTTTTAAATTTTACTTACTCATTTTTAGAAATCATCCCCAAATTACACAAAATGATTTTTTATCAAAAAGGTTCGTTACCTTTAAGGTTTTTTTATTGGTGTTGTAAAAAATATACTATTTAAGGAAAATGAGAAACTCATCAAGAGAAAAAAACCATGGTGTTAAATAAATAAATTCGGTGATGTTTCAAAAGAGAATAATTTTAAAGAGAAGCATAAGTAGGTTAATTAAAATGATAAAGGAAACCCAAAAGACAAAAACGCCATTAAATTAAGAATGTCAAAAGGATAAAATATATTGATTCTGTACAAATTTGATGCAGTACAATATATAAATAGAAATTAAAGAACATTATAAATTTATAAATTTAAAAACAGAAATAAAAGATATTAAATATGAACGATTAATAATAAATAATTTATTTTATTTTATTTTTTAAATAGAATATACTGTATATACTGTATGTACTGTATATTATTGTTTTATTTAAATTTTTAAAATGTATTTTTTTTTATGATTTTTATTATATATAGTATTTATACATATACTATTAACCTGCAATTAAGCTAATATAATATATTTATTAAATTATAATAATACTGTATATATACAGTATATATTTATATTTATATTAAAGTGGTGGAACCTTTATTATTCTTTATTTGTTAATAACTTGGGTAAGTATAAATTAATAGTAAAAATAATATCTGTCTTTGATATTAAATAGATTTAATGGTTGTTTAGTTTAATCAATTCTAATTATTAATTTACCATATAAAATAAAAAAATATATATTATGATATACTGTAGATAGAATAATGTAATATCTAAATATACTGTATAAAAGTATTATAACCAAATATACAAGTTTGCTTTCAAGTTATACTTAAAATTTGATATATAGTATTTGCTTTTCAAAGTTGATTTATTATATAGCAAGCAAAATTAAAAATTTTAATATTAGATTGCTTTGAACTTTGATTAAATTATTTGATTAAATATTTAAATAATTACTTTTTATTAATTAATACTTAAGTAAAATTGATTTTTAATTAATATATTTAATATTAATCTTTTTATTAAATCTACTATTAAAACTTAAAATAAAAAAAAAATAGCTTTTCTTTATTACTATTAAAGTAAAACCATTTTTTATTCAATATACTTAGCATTAATCTTCTTATTGAATATATCATTAGAACTCAAAATAAAAAAAAAATAGTAATTCTACTTTAAAAAAGTATATCATAACTTGAAATCATTATTTAAATATTTAAGTAAGATCTTACTTACAAGTTAAAAGCAAAATAAGTTATTAAATAATAATAGAACTCTTGTTTAAATATAAGAAAAAATATTTTTTTTATAAATATTAATATTTAATCTTATATAAAAAACTTATATTATTAAAAGATAAGTAGGAAATTTTATTATTATAATTAGTTTTATTTATAAGAATAATTAAAACATTTGATTATTATATATTATCTTACTAAATACTATAATTATTAATATTTTTTTTTTCAACTAGCTAGACCTTGCCTAATATATTTTATTTAGTTTACATATATTATTTCTTTTATAAGAGTTACTATCTATAAACTATTTTAGATATATATTAGATTATATTGAATTTCTTCTATATCAACTTGTTACTATTGACTAGTCTTATTGATACCGAACATTTAAGGGCATTTCCAAAAGAATATTTCTTGAAACTTTATATTTAAAGACTTTTAATTAGAAAAGATATTGGTTTTTTATTGTTGATTTTTCTCCTTATCAAGGCTAATGTGTCAAGGCTCTGTCAGTATTGTTATTGTATAAATATAAAAATTAAAATTAATAATATTGTTTCACTAATTTAGATACTTTCTAAAAGCTTATATTGTATATTTAATATTTCTTCTTGTCTATCTGTCTCATATATTTTTATTAATTATATATTTATAACTGTTTATTTTCAGAACACTATACAATTTATTACTTTACACTACTATAAACTATTTTTTTTGTAGCTTCAGTAGTTATATATATATATATATATATATTTTTTTTTACACCTAATCAGGCTGTAATTACTGTGTTTATTTAATCTTGTAGAAGAAGACATAACTGTTATATACATTTATGCATAAACTAATCACTTTTACAGCACACCCGTCAACAGCCAATGGCCTCTAGATATAATTAAGGGAAATGAAAAAAGTTGCTCTACTTTGATCCACATTCCTTGTGAATCTCCATTTCATCGCCAGCCTTCATTCAAGAATGTTCATCCCAACTTAATCTCTGTGGTCCTAAGGTATAAAAATTTTTATTTTTTTGAGAAGGTAAAGGAAAAAATAAAGGGAAAAAGAAAGGTTTGCACTGGTAAAATAAAAACCCATCAACACTACCAGTCTAATGAGAGCCTTGATCTTGAGGAGAAAAGAAACCAGTACAAGAGGGGAGGGGGAAGACTTCCAAGCACTTCTTATCAAGAGGACACCTCGACACCTTGCTCTTTCGCTATATCCAATTACATCATCAGTTATAATGTGGTACGACGCGGGGCACGTGTGG